ATCTCATCTCCAATGTATATGCAGCAATTGTTTTGTTAACATGTTAAATGCATATGCAGAAATTTGTGTTTTGTTAAGGCATAGCATGCTGCACAAATCCAGCCATATGACTGTACGTTCCTGGAACTATCTGGTTTATAATTAGAACTTCAGACTAGGTTTAATAGAACCCAGACTGATCTTGTGCTAATTCTCTCTTCTTCAACCTGAAAGATTTATTTTGGGGGATTAGCAGAACAACATATGCTGCTGAGGGGTGTAGGTGTGTGTGTGTGTGTGTGTGTGTGTGTGTGTGTGTGTGTGTGTGTATGTGTGTGTGTGTGGGGGGGGGCAATCACTTAAATATGAGCCAGCAGTATGCCGCAGCTGCCATAAAAGCCAACACAGTTCTAGGCTGCATTAACAGAGGGATAGAATCAAAATCACATGAAGTGTTAATGCCACTTTATAATGCCTTGGTATGGCCACGCTTTGAATATTGCATTCAGTTTTGGTTGCCACAATGAAAAAAAAAGATGTTGAGACTCTAGAAAGAGTGCAGAGAACAGCAACAAAGCATTAGGGGACTGGAGATTAAAACATATAAAGAACAGTTGCTAGAACTGGGTATATCTAGTTTAATGAAAAGAAGGACTAGGGGAGACATGATAGCAGCTTCCAGTATCTCAGGGGTTGCCACAAAGAAGAGGGAGTCAAGCTATTCTCCAAAGCACCTGAGGGCAGGACAAGAAGCAATGGGTGGAAAACAAGGAGAGAAGCAACAAAGAGCTAAGGAGAAATATCTTGACAGAACAATTAGCGGCACAAATTGTCTCCAGAAGTTGTGAATGTTTCAACACTGGAAGTTTTTAAAAAGGCACTGGACAACCATTTGTCTGAAATAGTATGGGGTTTCTTGCCTTAGCATAGGGTTGGACTAGAAGACCTCCAAGCTCCCTTCCAGTTCTGTTATTCTATTCTATTCTATTCTATTCTATTCTATTCTATTCTATTCTAACCTCTGAAATAGATTCAAACACAGTGGGACAAATACATTGTATTATATGGAAATCTGAAGATTGAATTAACATACACGTGTCAGGTCAATTCATTCCTGTGTTGGGCTGTTTTTCAAGAACCGAGTTGTCTACTTCAGGTAAGAAGATATTGCCTGAAGTAGCCTACAGTAATTGGGCTTGCTAATCCATTCTTCTTTGGAGCCCTCATTCCCACCCTTAGGCTGGACCTTTAATATGAGAAGAACTATGCATTCAAAGCGGCCACTTCTCTGATTTAATGGCCTGACCCTAATGACACAATGACACTTGTTAAATCCTGCAGATCAAAGCTGAAGCACTTTACTTTATACAGAATGATGGAGGAGGAGCTAGTCTCCAGAACGATGTGAATTGCACTGCAAAAGATTAAGATCTATGGAAAATTGACAATTTCACAATCAAGGAGTTGCATCTAGTGTGCTAGAATGGCACCAGGAAGAAATTTTATTTCTTGGGAATTTATTTTATAGTGCTATACAGAGTGATGACACAAGCAACTCCTGGATTGAGAAAAGGTAGGAAACTCCTGATTCGGTAAGGTTTAGAATAACTGGGATTCCATCTGCTTAATAATTGCAGCTGGGCATTCTGGGATTGTTGCCTTCATGCAAAGCAGTCTTGCACCGTTTCTCGTGTGTTGTGGGTTCTGCATTGCTTTTCAATAGATTTCCATGTATAAAATGCTGATTTTGATTTATAAAGCCTTCCATGATTCTGGCTCTGCTACTTTAAGTGCTATCTTTTTCAAGTAGATCTGTGCATTCTTTCAGAGAGGGGCTTTTTTTGGATTCCCTCCCATTACAAGAAGACTTATGAGTTGACTCTCCAGAGGTGGTCACCTGTGGCTTTGCGGAGCACTTAGCCTCCTCCAAAAAGTGGTTCTGATCAAGTACTCCAGCAGGCCATGAATCCGAGTGTGTGTGCTTCTTGCTTACATTTTCCATCTTCCTTGACATCCTCCTCTTGTGGTCAACCCTCTCTTGTGCTTCCAGATGAGACATACAGTGAGAGTAGCAGACGTCATGAGAAAACTCTCCTAGTATGCATCTGAATGGGGCTTCTTTGAAAGCAAAGATCCCTCCTCTCTTGTGATTGTATGTTCTCAATGGAAGGGGTAGGGGAAGATTACGGCAGGGTATTGGGTTTCTCCCAAACCTCCATGGAGCCTTTGGCAAGTTCTACTCTTAAGTAAGACTACAATAAGGAAATAAGGAACAAAATAAGCACTGATGGAGTGGCAAATGGCAATTAAGGGTCCTTGTTGTTCTCTGAGCTTGACTGTCTTTTTGCAGGCATTACCCAAACTAGGTAACATCATCAGTGCTAGTAAGGAGAGGGGTTTGCTCTCAGTTATGTTCTTACTTTATGCTTGCTCTGTCGGTGTTGTTAGGGTGGTCTTGGAGGTTTTCTTTGGTTAGGCTGTTTACTGTTGGCTTGAAATCACTCAATTTTAATCCCCCATCAAACAATGTTTGTTAAAAACAATATTAATTGCACAAGTTATTTGTAAAAAAATGCATTATCCTCCTTTGGAATATACATTCTGAATATTAGTCTTAATCCTACTAGTTCAACATTCACCCCTTGTATATCTACCATGTTCATCAGTCGATACAAGTTCCTGTTTTAGTTGTGAATTAATATACAAAAAATAGCTTTTTTAGGGTTTAATGAAATAAACTTTTCAGCCAGATTTGTATTAATTAAATATTAAATTAAGTATTTTATATCTTTCTTCCGAATTTGATTTTTTTGCAAACAAATAACACTTCATTTCATTTTTTTAAAACAAAGAAAAAAGTTGCTTTTGGAGACCATTTGCTCTATTTATAGTCCACATTAGACATTTTAATCTATAGTCAAGCCAAGAATGTAGACAAGTCAATACCTATGGCACTCAATTCAGTATAATCTCTTTAAAATCCTTTTGCATTTATTGTAGTGATTGTGGTGAAGTCTGCCTTGAAATCTCCAGATTTCTGTTCACTCATGCCATCTGCCCATCTGATTCCATATGATGGATCTGGACCCCAAAACTTTTGAAAAGTTTTCATCAGAACTTGGTAGTAAATTGTGGACTATAGTCTGAGACCAAGTAGTCAGGTAAGTTATGTAAACAGAAGATATGTTGTAAAAATTGCTGAGTTGTGTCTTTGACTGGGGCCAATCCTAAGCACTCTATGAAATAATCCATCTTTGTTAAAGTGTTCATCATTATCAAAAGGGTCCTTTCCCCCTGGTTAAATGTTATGAAGTTTTAAGGATTCAGTGGCCCAAGGATATATTGGGATGGGTGGTGGCACCAAAAGTCCTCATTACTTATCTGGTGTGTCTTTTGTTCTATGACAGGCTGAGCAGGAGGTGACATGCCACCTTGCATCATCCTGATTCATGGTGATCAAAAATCTCAAAAGTAAATGATCACGAAGAGTCCAAGTGACCTGCAGCAAGTATGCACTGACCACCAGAACTCATAGCATCTACAAATATGCTCTAAATTCTGGTGGTCAGTGCATACTTACACAGGGCATGCCTCCTCTAAGATGTATCTCCATGGAAAGTTTGCAGCTTCTACCAGTACTACCCCATAGCCATATCTGAAGGAGGATGGATTCTGATGCAAAAGCAGTCTTTAAAGCTCCAAAAGCATGTCATACATCTTCATTCCAAATTAATGTTTTCCTGAGCAATGGACAGGGCCAGAGGTACAGTGAAATCTGCAAAATAATGTATATATTTTCTATAGTAATTGACAAAGCCAAAAAAATGGTCTTGGCAGGGCATGTGATAGCTAGATGTCCCTGGGACCCCACCGTACAAATACAACCTTCTCTGCACCTTTGAGCCTTTCCTGTTTCAGTCAGTTGAGAATGAGCTACCCTGACCTGTGTGGTTTCCTCTAAAGATGTCTGTTCAGAGATAGGCATCTATCTGCCAGGACACCCAGGCTTGACAATATATTGTTGGCTTAAGATCTAGTCTTCCACTGCTGCAGATACCCATCAATATGAAGACACAGCTCCATTAATTATTTCAATAGATCTATGCATTCAGTTTTAACTAGATCATCTAAAGTTTCATCTATCAAACCTACTTTAAACTGATATTGCAGCATTATTCTATGTTAAATTCTTAGAAATTAACTTAAATGTACTTACATATTTAGCTGCCACTGTGTGGCACCCTTGTTTAAGTTCCAGAATATGGTGATTCTTGCTTTGAGTTTTTATGGGATCTACATACATGGCACCAAGCTGACAAATGCATTTGCACAGTTGTCCAGCAGAGATTCAGTAGGGGTGTTGCCAAAAAAAAAAAAATCTTCTGAGATCCCATACCCCAAAATCTGAAAGTTGCACAGGAAATATATTACATCACACAGAATTCAGACATCCTTTAGGTTTACTGCCCAGGAGCAAAGCTAACATTTATTCACATTGTTTTACTGTCCTACACCAACATTAGTGCTATTATCCTCCTCATAAAATTTGAGGACTGTTATTTATAAGAAAATGGCTACAAATGAGAATAGCAACAAAGAAGGAAAACAACTCATTGAGTACAAAAACTGAAGCTGAGTGATGTGTGGCACTAATCAGATTTGAGTCATATTTGGACTTGAAAAACAATAGGAGGCTGCACTCTCCAAAATCAACAGGACCAGGAAAAAACAAAATTTAATTTATATTTATAAATACAATTAATATTGTTGATTGTTCCCTGTCAAGGTAATGACTTTCACTTTGAGTCACACTAAATCTATCATTCAGTACTAACAGAAGTGCTCAGAAAAACACGTGTATAATTTTCATTTAACTTTTGGATTGTGGACTGAATTCCCTGTATTAGCCAAGAGGAGAGGAAGAAAAGCTTAGTGACAAAACTATTGTGCTTGCCCTCTGAAAATCCCAGATACAATCTCCAGTATTTCAAAATATTTTTCTACCAGAAATTTTAGTGAACAGATGTCTGATTAGAATGGGAACAGAATCCTAGAATAGAATCTGGGCAAGGCAGCTTTGCAGATTGAACATCCTTAGCCAAGATGGATCTGTCTCCAGACTTCCCAGTGCAAGGCCATCTTGGTCTGGCCTGCATAACTTAGGGTCAGAAAAATGCTCCAGAAAGACTGCACTCTGGAAACATTTTATTGGGGGCAGGAGGGTCTGGGGTTAGTCTACTCTGTGCCTCACTGTGTCATCGTCTTCTGCAAATGCTGGCAGCTGGGGCATATGCCTTCTGGTTGGCCCCTCTGCTTCAGCTCCTCCAAAATGGGCGCCATCGCATGTTCAAACATCTTTCGCAGCACCTCTGTATTCACAATGCTGTAGCTGTGGGTGGGAACCGGGAAATGGAAAAAAAAGAAAGAAAAGAAGGGATGCCATTTACACAGTCAATTAATGTAGAAAATATGATAGGTTTAAGTCTTGAAAGGGAGACAAACAGCCCAGGTACAGCGTCAAGGAAACTCCTTCCATGCCATGTCAGAAGAGTGCCGTTTGCTGCACTGAAAATATTGTAAATATGAGATATCTCTGGAAGTATTTAACATAAAGAGACAAAGAAGCACTGCTCCAACTTAACATTGCTTTAGTACAGTTGCCCCTTTTTCCAGAACTGACATGGTGGTCTACTGAAAGAAGAAATAAGAGAAGGTAGGAAATATGTATGAAACAGCTAACCTGGAAAGAGTTTTAAAAAGCAGCCATTTTAAAACCCAACTCTTCTTGATTCTTCTAAACACACATGCCAATTACATGAGCTTCAGCAACATGTTTTTTTTAAATAAATGAAAATAGGTGTTCTCAGTTTTCTAAAGCCAATGCCAGAGATTCGATTTTGTAGAAAACTGTGTTTTCAGCAGCAGCCAATTAACTGTTTATGCGAGTAGTCAATTCACTTGCTTCTGTTAATACTGAACTTGCTCTTCTGTGAACTGGAAAACTGCAATTACTTGTTGGTCTATGAAAGGAAATCTATAATATCAAGTCAGTATTTCTAGCTGACATACTATTCAGGGGCTGCTTAAGCAAAAATTTTGGATAGTCCTTGATAGAAAAATCTTAAAAGAGTTTGTAGCTGTGCTGATAAATCAGGCCCATCTGGTAAGGAAATATTTTTCAGTCTTGGCAACATTAAGCTATATGGATTTCAACTCATGCTCAGGAATTGTGAACTGGCTCAGGAATTTTGGGAGTTGAAGTTCATATATAGCTTTCCCTCCAGAGACCTGGCTTTCCAAGATGTGGGAGACCTGGGTGGGAGATTTGTGCCATTTGACTGCTTATAGCCATGTTGGGGAACCTATGCCATGCGTGCCGGAAGTGGCATGCAAAGCTATTTCCCCCGGCATGTGAGAGGTCACCCGGAAGAGCCCCACTGTCAAATATCTGGCGTGCATGCGCAGGGAGCAAAGGGAGGGTGCATGGGAGAAGGGCGCGCATGCGCAGAGACATGCTGTGCACAAGGAGGGATCATGCATGTATGTGCAGATGCATGGCACGCGAGGGAATCGTGCATGCCTGCGTAGACGTGTGGCATGCAAGGGGGAATCGCATGCGCATGCACAGGGAGTGTGGGGGCCCCAGGATGCTGGGTACATGTGCATGCGTAATTATTGGCACAGGAGCTGAAAAAGGTTAGCCACCACTGGCTTATAGAGTGGTTTTGGTTGGATGAAGTTATTTTGGGAACTTATTACACATTGCTTTCTATTGGTGTACACCTCCCTATGTCAACTGGGAAGCTATTAAATTGATTTAATCAGTCAATCCATCATGCTAAGTCCTAATATGGTATGTTTGGTTTTATCTTAGTTTTTGTGGCCTGTGGGGATAATAAACCAGAAGTTATATCAAGTCCAGCATCTATCTGCCATGCCAAAAAACACCACAAAATGTACTGTCACAATTTAAAGACAGAGTGCCAAATTTCTATGGTATATGTTTTTGAGTCACAAAGGGAAAGTAAGTCTGGAAACAGAAGCTAGAGTTCCATTGGTGAAATTCATTTTTTCTCTTTTAACGATTTCAGACACAAAGGAAATCTCTCTGGTATTGCATACCACTTCTGGGATAAGAAAGTCACTGGAAGACCTCTTGCAACGGCTAGCAGGATGAGAAGTCAAACAACAATACAGGTCCACCGGTGGTTTATGGCTTAAAATCATAAAACAAAGACTATCTGTAATGCTTTGTTTAATAAACTGCAATTAGCAAATCATTGCTGAGTGGCTTTATGACATTGCCCTGAGTGAAATCAAAGAAATCACACCTAACACCACATCCTTCCTTAGTCTAACCTTCTGATTCTCATTAACAGGTTGGTCTGTATTCTTCAGTTCTGATCCAAAGGTTTAAACTAGGTACCTGGAACATCTAGCACAATTAAAAGGAGGCCGATTGGATGCTTCCATATTCTTTAGCGTTGCAAGATGTCGGGATATGTCTTCCAGGAGTCCATCGAGATCTTCCCGGACCTGAGTGAGAGATACTGATGCCCGCTTTGCCCTGGCATAGAAGGAAAAAGATAGCAGCTGTAAGTGAAATTTCCACAATTTCTAAATTCATAGCCCTATAACAGCTCAGAGAGATGTACGTTTTGCCTGCCACACAGAACAGTAGGTTTCCTTATCTGTGGAGCAGGTCTTGAAATGGAGCAATCTCATTTTACAGTCCTCTCACAGGCTGGCTGAAAGGATAGTGACATCCTGGTCTGTGGTATTTGTGTTCCAGGAGAAGCTGCACACTCCCTGTTCCTCTGCTTTTTATTCTCTTTTATCCTTCATTACAATAAGGGAAGTGGGGGAGCTAGATAGGGGATTTCATCTGAAACGGTAGACTTTTGTCAAAATTATGCTGGAGGACACCCATGCACCATTTATTCTGAATCTGATCTTTGAATTTTTCTACCATCTGATACTTTTGAAGCAACAAGAGGTAGAATTAATTGTACACTGTTACAGAAAAAAAGACCTACTGAGAAAAAGGGATCACTGGCAGTTGGATGAAGCTTGACCTTGGAAGATCCACAAATATTAGACAGCTTCACTTTTTAAAAGAAAAAATACAGTAATCAGTTACAGGGCAAAAAGGCACTAATTAATAATATACTAATATTCCCTGAAGATGTGTAGACTATAATACTTTGTCAATACAAAATGAGGATTATGAAACTTGTATTCAACTTTCCTAAACTACACCTCTATGGGGAAAAAATCCTAATATAAATATGCAGGGAACAAACCCCATCACTACAAATACTTGCTATCATTATCTAATAACAGACCTCTAGTTGAACTGGAAAAATTAACTCCGAGGGAACAGTAATCAATGGTTTGTTCTTGACACCATCATCTCTTAGATCTGGTCCTTCTTTTCACTAGGAATAAGAGTCCACAACTCAGAAGGACCTAAGAGTACTGGAGATTGGAGAAGAGACATAGTTTCTTTAGTCAAAAAGGGTACATACGCAGAAGAGACTTCATCCAGTTCCTCCCGCAGCATCCTAAGCTCCTGCCCTTGTTCCACTTGTATCCTTTCCCTCTGGGGAAGCACTCCTTCCAAGCATAGCCCCAACTGGGCCAATAGCCGCAACACCTCCTTCTGGGCCAGCTCCAGCATGCATTTCCTACAGTGAGATGTGATAGAAAGAGACCACGTTGGAGGATATCTTGATGTCTCCAGCAAAATCAAGACTCCTTCCCATTCCCTCCTCAGAGAGGTACCAAGAGAGCAACAGTGTACTTCTGGAGATCACTCTCCCCAAGGATGGGCAACCTTGGGGATCATGCTACTTCTGAAGTACAAAAATTGTTTGGAGACCCCACTCGCCATCCCCTATTCCAGCAATTGCCATGAGGTCTTACCAACGAAAGTCTTCTACTTGAACCTGTTGCTGTAAGTTACGCAGTTTCTCCTAAACAGAGTAGGGGAAGTGACAGGGAAAGAACAAGATTAACTTGGGGTATTTAGTATATGTATACATGTGCTGCTCTCTTTTCCAATTAGCATGCTAATACAGTAAAGTTTTTTAGAGTTCAAATCCACAAGAAAGTAACAGGGAGCAACAAAATACTTTTCTCCAACCTGGATCTCCAATCCAGATGTTATAGACCACAATGCTCTTAATTTCCAACCATATAGCTGGGCTAGCTAGTCATTCCAGTTGTGGTAGTCCAGTACATCTGGACTCATTGTTCATCTAAAAGATATTCTTCACCTCAAAGTGAACCTTTAGAAAACACAACTCAGCAAATCTTCAGAAAAATGCAGTCTTGTGTTGCTTTCTTTATGAGTGCTGGTAATGAAATCCAAATAATTCCAAACCTTTCAAATGTAATAAGAGGGTAAATGAAAGGGACAAACTGCAGGATCACTTAGAGCATGTAAAAAAGAGATGGTTCAGCCAGAAACCAGAGGATGAGCAAGATGGAGAATTTGCATCATCCTTTCCTCCTCCTCCTCCTCCTCCTCCTCCTCCTCCTCCTCCTCCTCCTCCTCCTCTTACCTATTTAGGAGTCTACAGAGGATAATAACTTAATATTGCTATCTTGACACTTAACCATATAACACTCAGATAACCCACCGGGAAATATGACCATAACTAACTATGGTGATTAATTAGATTTCTACTCCAACTTTGAATGAGAAATTGAAGCTGGCAAGATTACTTCTAATTTTTCTGGTTTCTTCCAGTGTTATTCCTTTCAGGGGACTGGGTTAATAGAGGGTGGGACAGGCCCAAAAAATCCCAGTCCCTCCCTTTATATATGGGAGCCACAATCTCTTCAATGCCAGTCCAAAATTAACCTGTACTCAATGCTGGTGAGACTGAGAATTTAAAAAGCAAAATCTCTGAAAAGATTAAACAACAAACCATTTTCATATTGCTGTTAAAAATATATGCCAGAAGGAATCAAATATGATGGAGGGTGCTTATTTCTCTTGCATGCATCTCCCTTTTCTAAATTTTCCAACAATCGTTTTGTGTATAGGTGAGCCTGGGAGAGTTTTGATGATTGATTATGGACCTGAATTATAATCTCCTTAATCCCTAGTAGAGAATGATTTTCTTTTGCTAAAAGATTCCCGGGAAAGGGTTAAAAGACACTTAGGGGCAAAAATGGACATCCTCTCTCTCACCTGCAAGAGGGCTGAGTTTTCTTCCAGTACGCTGGTCTTTATTTCGGCATCCTCCACAGATTTTGTCACTTTTCGACAGCTTTCCTTCAAGAAATTTCAGAGGGGAAAAAAAACTCAGGTGGCCAAACAAGCAAACAAAAGGAATGAGCTAGTGTGGATTTGCATTCAACGTTGTGCATCTCCTTTTCTTCAAAAGTCTTTTCAAGAAGTTAGGACAGGGAGCAAATGGAAAATTATCCCATTTCTCTTTTTTTATGATAAATCTGATAACTTGAACCTCTATTAAAGGATGAGTTCAACATCCATTTCATTACAGCATTGGAAAGAAACACAGCATCTCAGTAACTCTCTCCCACATCCAACTCTCTACTCCCAGAGATTTTGTTTAAAGGAAAACTATTTTAATATTTTCAATTGTCCCTATCATTTCACTGAATATATAATAAAAGCAAAAACATTATCTTAAATTCCGCTTTGGCAATTCTAAAGCAAGCACTGCACCTCCTGCCTACTGTGCCCTGAGCTATCTAGCAGCATTTGCCCATTTTCCATGTACTGTTTTCTTCTAGAGAAAAATTTACTTGGCAAGGAGGTCTGCTTCAGCCATTTGGCTCTGTGAGGCTGATCTTAACTGTCTTGCAATGGAGCAATGGTCCTCTTACAAAAAAAATATCATATTATGATCGAACTTGCATTGATCCAGGTTGCCTGATTACCTTGTCTTGCCCATCCTACTCGTACCGGCACAAGGGCTTACTTCAGAACCCATCAGTGAAAGGACTCTGACTATCGAGATTAGAAAAAGAGTTTTCTCTGCTGCAGCATCTAAACTTTGGAACATCTTACTGTCCTGGGTAAGATCTGTTCCCAGCTTTCTATCTTTTCATAAGAGTTTGAAGATCTGGTTGGCCTTGGGACCAAATGAGGGGAATTCCACATTGGAGGTAGTTGCTGAATTGATGGCAGACTCCACCTCTCCTATCCCTTGCCCTCTGCTGTCTACCCACCCATCTTTTCGATTATCGTATACCTTGTATTCGCTTGTGCTCCTTTTTCATTGTTTATTGTATGAGTTCTAGTATTTTCCTTCTGTTCTGTTTACATTTTTTTCATTTTCTTCCTTATTATTATTGTAAGCTGTCTCACAGCAGATAGGCAACAAATAAATTTAAACACAAACAAACAAACAAATAAAATAATCATTGCATGTAAATACAATAGCTCTGAGACAATGCTTGTAGGCTGTCAGAACCTGGATGGGGAGAAATAGACTCAGATTGAACCCAACCAAGATGATGTAGACGTTAATTCAAAAGTCAAGGAATCTTCCTTGACCTACGGCTCCTGTTGGAAGATAGGCCAAAAAGGGTTTTGCCTAGAAAAATGTCTGTAAATTGGTTTGGAACAATTATATTTGATTTGTGGATTATTCTGTTATGTATATGAATTATTGTATTTGCTTGTAGTATATTAATTGTACACTTACTTCAATAGATTAAGCAGTAGTAAATCTAAAGTGTGATATCACAGTGCTCCAGGTTAGTCTCTGAAAGCCTGACAGATTTTACACAGGAAGCCAGATCACTGTTAGAATTCCCTCTCATTCTGCCTACAGGAGCAGCTGTGAGCTTAACCAAAGTTTGGAGCAGGGTCTGACAGGAGCTGTGTAAATGCAAGCCCATGGCTTATGCACCCAAAGTTGAATTGCTGTCAGAAGTTGCTCTCACACAGCTTGGACATTAGCAACCAGTTTTTCCAAGCAGAGCTCAAAAAGTAAAGCCAACCAAATGAGGCAAAATTAAATCCGATTTCACAGAATGGACAGAATTTAGCCTCTCCTCTCTCAAATTGGCCAAGTGAGTTGGACTGAAGCATTCTTGCATTGGTAACCTTAGGAAGGAGACTAATTCCATTCTGTATTCCTGCCTATAAAAGCAGAAAGAGAATGGTGAACCTGAGACGCTAAAACTTCAGTTATGTAGTAGCCTATGCAAATAACCTACAGCCTCCAGACCTGCAGATTCTGAAGATGGTGGGTGACCTTGGATGTCTTCTCTTTGAGGCTGGTGATAGAATCCTTGGCTCGTAAAAGGCCACTATTACTCACTTCCTGCTAGGAGAAAAAGCAAGAGGAAACTGATCAAGCAAATCACAACCCACTTACTTCTGACTAATACACATTTTCAGACATTTATTTCAGTCTCTCAATGGTTTTAAAATGGAGAGGGGGCAGCTGTAAGGTATGACAGCCCACACATCTAAAGTTCAAACTATTTGATTGTTCTATGTCTATTTCACAGGAACCTCCCCAGACTGGCAGCTTGTTTTGGGAAAGACAAGATAAAACTCAAAGCACTGGGGTGGGATGTTAGACCTTTCCTCGTGTGTTTATATAGTGAGTCCAAGCTAATTCCTTGCTTGAGCCCTTCTCCAAACTGGGATGATTGCTTACCAGCATCATCTGAAAAACATTATCTACATGTTAGAGAGTTAAGACGGGTCTTGTTAGGGATCTAAAAGTTCATTACTGATAGTTAGAATCTTTCAGTGACAAAGTAGAAATTAAGCTTGTATGTACAATACACTCTTCATAGCTGGGGGTGGTCAAGGCCAAGAGGACAAAGAAATATTTGGAACAATATAAAAGGCCACGCTTGGGTGTAGAAAGTAAATGAAGAAAAAGGAATGGCATAAACAGCTCAATATAGAAGTAGGACTGCAGAAGAATAAAATCTTCAAGAAAAGCCCTTTTCAGGAAAAATATAAAAATATTTGTAACAATATACATTGTTAAGTTCAGGATTGGTAAGAATATGAAGTTAACAACAAATTAAAAGAAAAACAAACTAAGATTGCTTGCCCAAAGAAATGCTGATCCCAACATAAAAAAATAGGAATTATTTTCTAGAATGTTATAGAACAGGAGTGTCAACCTTGGTTTCGCTGGAACCTTGATTTCACATCAGGGTTGTGTTTGACCTTGGGGGCTGAAGTGGGAGTGGATGGGATGGGCGTAGCCAGCTCAAAGTCACTTGTGTTGGGGTGCCTGTGGTGGCCCGAACACTCTGCCAGCGGAAATTGGTTTTTGAGCTACATTTTCGGTTATGATAGCCTCCTGCAACCCTCTGCCAGCGAAAACAGTGCAGGAGGGCCACCTATGGCCCTCCCGGGCTCCATTTTTGTTGGCAGAGGCACCGTGGGCTGGTCCTTTGCTATTTCCAGGCGGCCCCACAGGCCAGATCAAAGCACCACACGGGCTGCATCCAGCTCCGGGCCTTGAGTTTGACACCCCTGTTATAGAAGGCCCACAACTGAATTATTCTCTAAAAATATAGTGTTATAATCCTCTGGCTTTGGAATCAACTGCAACCTCTGACTAGACATCAAGTACACCATCTGGAAGCGTTCCTGAATTTGCAAAAGCATCAGTAAGGGATTCTTTGTTTGGCTTAAACCTTGGTTGCTATATATTAATACCATTTTAATTTTTCTCTGAATATGGAAGCTGGAAGAGAGAATAGCAGATATAGGCAAAACTAGAAGTTCCAGCAGGATTGACCCTTTCTGTTCACTAAGAAAAGATGAGAGTCTTGGAAGTAACATCTTTAAAGTGGAATGTGGACTGAAAAAATAGATAGACTTAAAACTCATCAAGAATACAAACCTTTGGGGGAGATTTGTAGAAAGAAACCCTTACTCAATTATAGCATTAAAAGTAGTTTTATGCACCTCGAAAACAACTGTATTATGGCATAAAAGTAGCTCTTAGAGACCTAATCAAGTTGTTGTTTAAAGTGTCATGTTCTTTTCTGGGGAAGTGGGGTGGGGAATACATTTTTTTAATTTGTCTATTATTAGAACAATGCTTCGGGGCTGTATGCTTAATTGACAAAGCAGCAACAGGTACCATATGTGCGACTGTGTCGCATTGCCTCACCTGCTGGCTGGAATTATCATCTTCATCTTCTGACCAAGCTGGCTTGATGGGAAACAGAGGATCCCATCTTTCGCCTCCTGCTCCCCCTGGTGGACCCCCATCATCTGTGGATTCATTCTCCGTGGTGGAATCATCACGTTCCCCATCAGTTAGGTTCAGAAGAGAAACATTAGTGCAAGCAGAAGAACGCTTCAAATTCAGATTGGGACTTTCAGTGGTAAAATAGGGCTCGACTCTGGTTTGAGAAAAAGTTCATTATCCTTAGATAGAGTACTGAACTACTTTATTTCTTACATAATATATTGAAGAGAGATAGGTACAGCAAAGGATCTTCGGATGCCTTTATCTAACATATTATTTGGCAACCTAAGATTTTGGGATTACTGTACAGAAATGCCAGAAAATTATACTGAAAATTTTGAGAATTGAAGTCCAACAAGTTGGTAGACATCTGTTCTTACTTTGTTATTGCATCATTTATATCCCACCGCCAAGTTTAACAAAATTTTGGTGACTCACATAAAATCCTATTGATCTCGCTAATAAATTCCAATAGCAGAACAAGGAGTAGACTGTTCTAGAAGATAGAGCAATAGTAAAAAAAAAAAAATCCCATTCTCCTAATTCTTGAAATGGGAGAGAATCCAAAGAAATAGCACAGCACCTATTTGAAGAAGGTCATTCTTAAAGTAGCACAGTCCAAATCATGGAAGGCTTTAGCCTTCAGAATTTTATACAGGAAATGTGTTAATTAATGCAGAGACCTCAATATAATGCTGCCCTGCTGAAGCAGATCTCAGCTCACAGCCTGTGAGCACCAACTACAGTTTTAGATCATTTTCAAAGGTAGTGTGATATTTCCAACACATTAGAATAAAAAGGTAATGAGAATAAGAGTGACTACTGCCAATGTCTTCCACTCCCAAGGGACACAACAGAAAACTAGACATCACTGGAAAAGACTTTCCTGATAATATAATTCACCTGCTAATTCTAATTCTGTCAAGGAATGCAAATCTCTATAAAATCAACACTGGGGCACAAAATAAGAACAAGAAATAACTTCTGCTTGCTGTGATTCGGTTTAACCTAGTTTCTTGCTATTCCATTTAATCTTTCACTTTTCACACACTGCGTGAGGATCTCCTCTGCATTTTCTGCTGTTAAGGCTATAAAGTTTGGTATCATTATGTATAGTAATGCTCCCTCCAAACTAACAAATGACCTCTCCCAAAGGTTTCATTTAAATAAATAAACAGTAGAGGGACGAGAATCAAGTCCTGGGGCTTGGTATGTTCAAGTGCCCCAAGGTCTCATTTTTCTTCTCTTAATATTACCAAATAAAACCAACCACTCACTTTTGAAAGAATGGAATTGGTGCAGGATAATGCCACCCACCCATCCACTTGCACAACACCCATCTCTTAGATAGTCCAGAAGAGTATCATGCTCAGTGGCACAAAACTTTATGAGAAGTCCAAATGAACAAGAACATGGTTCGTGCATCCCATCAGAGCAGCTGAAACAGTTTCTGTACCACAGCCAGATCTGAGAAAACTGGAATGAAAGAGATCAAATTATCCACTTTATCCAGTACTGTCTGCAATTGACACCCCACTATTTTCTTCAAGATCTTCCTGGGAAAAAAAGCAAGTCTGAAGACCAGGCAGAAGGTATCCAACACAAGCAGATCATGAGCCACTTTCTTCAAGATATGGAGGATGCCCCTTCCTCCCTTAGGGAAGCATTAACTTCGTCTCAAATATGACCACAAACACATGTATACAGAAGAGCTAGTGGAACATGCCTGACAAAATTAATGTATATAGTTTTACAAACAAATGTCTTACTTAAGAGAGCAATATTAAGGGTCATGTACATATAAAACCTGGATGTTTTTCCCATGCTATGTTTGAAACCAGAAGATGAAGAAGAAAACGGGAAGCATTTTTTCCCATTTGCTTATGCTAGAATCAGCAGTAAGTCTTTAAAAAGCACAGGGAGAGCAAAGATGTGTATATTTTCCCCAAAAAGTAAACTGAGAGTGTGAGTTCATGGGCTTGAATCCAGGCAACGTATGCAGAAGAAGGGCTGGCTGGCTTTTGAGATATGAGCAATCTGTGTGTCGTTAGAACCCAAAACCAGACCAAACTAGGAACAAGCCAATGCTGGTGGTGTGTTAGGCTACCAGCAGGCAAGATGGTCTCTCCTAAGCCTCGGTTAGTAGCAATAACCACTATTGCACTATCTGCTTTTGATAAGATGAGATCCACTGCCCTCTTAGCCCAGTGTTGGACTACAAACCTTCATTATTCTCAGCCAGCTTTACTACATAGGCTAAAAATTCTGGGAGTTTTATCCAACCAGCTGGGATCTGAGGGCAGCAATTTTCTATGAACTGAAGGAGAAAAGTTTTTGGTTTTTTTTGCATCTTCTACTACCAGAAGCCTTTTCACCTGAAGATGCCATGGATTGAATCTGAACCTTTTGAACACAGATGTGCTACTGTGCATCCCGTCTCCTATATATTCTCACATGTTGCAGCTATTAAACTCTACCTCCACCCTTTACCTTCCCAGGTGACCCACCCATGGAAAGAGACGGCTTTCTTCTTTTTGGGGAAGCCTTTGATGCTAGTAGGCTTTCCCAGCTGATCCTTGGTGCCCTGAGCCCAACTCTCAATCCCTGTTGGTGTGTCTCCAGCCTCATTTATTTCTTTGGACTGCCAGATGGTCTTCACCACAATGTTGGCCATTATAGGCTGGGTCGACATCTAATATGAGCACAAATTTTCTTGCCTGCACCACACCAGGTACCTATAAGCCAACTGGCTCTCTAGGTAGGGCAGGAATCTTCCAGCTGCTTTCATGACCTCACAACAGTTGCCATGGGGCTGGCAATCACATGGCCCACCCTTCCATCCACCATTGTACCACCAACAATCAGCACAGTCTTCAATAAAAAGAAAAGCAATGCAAATAATTCTTTCCTAATTTGAAAGAATTGCATGGATTGAGCTAAAGAAATATATTTAACTGCTAATTGCCTTTTTTTTCATACTTTGCCCAGGTTAGATTCAACAACTACGATTAGTTATTGGTTTGTTACTTCTATAAATCACAGTTAAACAATCAACCAGATTTACATATCACACACAAACTTATGCATAAAAGTTCACACCACATAATAACTCTTTATTATCTGAGGAAACGTCTCTTGCCGGTCACATCTACCTGACCCATTGGAGCAGGGAGCCAGGGAATGTTTCATGTCCCATCCCCGAGGGAGATACACCTGGTGGGATTCAGAGGAAGGGCCTTCTCCGTAGTGGCTCTCTCTCTGGAACATCATTCCCCCAGAGATTAGAACGGCCCCACTCTTCTGGAAGGCGCTGAAGACCCAGTTCTGCCAGTGGGCCTAAGGAACCCAGAGCGGGACGGAGCCCATTAAATGGCTCATGTGATCTGCTGTCCCCAGGGCGGGAAGTGATTTTGTTATATTGTACTATATTAATTTATTTGATTCTTTTTTTTAGTTTTTGTTGTTTTAAATGTGATTTTATATTCTGTAAGCTGCCTTGAGTCACTATGGGTGAATAGGCAGCAATATAAATTCAATTAATTAATATTATCAAATATTTATCTATTTATGAAGTGAAACACATAATTCACGAACTATCAAAGACACCTGACTGATTGCTCAGACATTGGGCTGGTTCAAATGTAATGCTATCAAAGACTAGTACAGGAGTCCTCGAGTTATGACCACAATTGAGCCCAAAATTTGCTGTTAAGTGAGACATTTGTTAAGAGAGTTTTGTCCCATTTTATGACCTTTCTTGATAGTTGTTAAGTGAAGCACAGAAGTTCTTAAGTTAATAACACTGTTGTGAAGTGAATCTGGCTTCCCCATTGACTTTGCTTGTCAGAAGGTCACAAAAAGTGATCTCATGACCCCCAGGACACTGAAACCATCATAAATATGAGCCAGTTGCCAAGCATCTGGTCACTAAATGAATTGTTGTAAGTCGAGGACTACCTGTAGTGCTCTAGAGTAAACCAAAGAAAAAAATAGTATTTCTTTTGATCAACATGAAATGTTGACCATCCACAATAGTTGAATGGATGTTATGCTTAACCACTTGAATAAACCCAACAGAACGGGTTCACATTCCACAATCAACTGACCAGATATCAAGTTTTTCTTTCTCAATTCAACCTAATTTAAGATCGTTGTTGCATTGACATAAAATGAGGACATAACTCTAGATATGCCAATTTGAACTCCCAAAGAAAAGGCAGGATATGAATGCAATAAATATGTTCATTGGCTAGTTTCTATATAACACCAAACCATAATCTCTTCCTTTACCTTAGTAAATGAAAATCCACCTATACCTTAGTATAATATACATGCCATGCTATTATATGTCAAACAAAGCTTTAAAATTTCATCTTAACTGTTTCAGTCGGTTTTTGAAGCTGTATTCAGGTAACTTAAAAGGATCTATGTAGCAAATAAGCTAAGCCACAGGTTCACATGCACCGCCATAAAAACAATACTTGCACTGCACAGCTTGAGTTTCCTTAGTTCCTACACTCATACTCCCATGGAAAGGCAGGACAAATGATTTATTAAAAGCATTACTGGGAAAACATTTCTCCAGCAGGAATTTTTTTTTTTTAATGAATGGGAAAGGAAAGGAAGTAGAAATGTAAATGCTGGAGGATATTTAACATTGTGGCCACCCTAAAAAAACGGAATATACCTGTGGTTTTAGTTCTAATGAAATAAGTTACACTGATTCTTTCCTACAGTAAATTCTGTCCTTAAAGGAGAAAGAAAAAAATCCCCTGAGGAACTGGAAGACAAGAAATCGCCCTTTACACTCGGCCGCCCTAGTTCGTGGTGCCTTCTCTTCCCGAAGCCAATTGGCTGAAATTTGATGACGATCCCCGCCGTTCTTTTCCTTTCTTTTGCCGCCCTTCCACCGCGAGCCTTTTCGGCCAAAAAAACCCACGGACTTGAACTTGGAGGACGTGGACCTCTCGCCCAATAACCAAGAACACTTCCCCGCCCAGCAGCGAGCCGAGATTCCGCTTGCTTGATTTCGCAAGAGGAAATGGGCGGGGCAGCCTTTGACTGACATGTCTTAAAATCGATCAAGATATTCAAACCGAAGGGGCACAGTCGGGGGTCGGCTTAGGTGGGCTTCTTGGGAAACCATGTCCAATGGAAAATGCAGAATTGCAGAGGGGACTTATTTGACATTAAGATTCACCGGATCCAATAGGGAGAGGAGCAGGCGGGATTTAAACCTACTGACCAATCCCTTAGAAGGCTGGCTTATTTCTGTCAATAGAACGCACCTCAGGTTTGAAAAGCGGCACCTCCACCCAATAGAGAGTGAAAACGTTTCATGACGGATGGAATGAGGAGCCAATCGGAAATGTTAGGGTCGGTTCGGTGCAGCTGGGCCAGGTTCGGGCGCGGAACGGAGCATCGCCGTGGTCCCGATCCTCTATCGTCACCATGCCGGCCGTTTCCAAGGGAGACGGGATGCGGGGCCTGGCCGTATTTATCTCCGATATCCGAAACTGTAAGTGATTGCCGCTGTGGGAAAGACAGGAGGGCAGAGGAGGATCCTTCAGAACCGAATGAATCTTGTATACGCGCTTTGGGGGGGGGGGGGGGGGGGGGGGGGGGCCCGGGGGGGGAATGGGGGGGGGGGGAAACGGGGGGGGGCTGGCC